AGAGGCCCCCACCCCCACTGCCCCCACCCCCACGGGCCGTACCTGCTGGGAAGTGGAGGTGCCCGAGGCGGAAGACATGACGATGAACTTGGTCGGCGGAGGGGAGGGCTGCGTTGGGGTGGCCGGCCGGGTGGAGACCAGCGTCTGCACAGGGAGGGTGATGGAGCCGGGCACCTTGATGATGCTGGGCGCCCGGCTGGCGCTGCTGCCTCCCTGGGCCGCCTGGGAGAGGGTCAGGGTCGGGCGAGGCTGTGCGGGGGAGGGGGGAGAAAGAGGGGAGGAGACGGTGGTGAGACCTGCCTCCTGCCACCCTTAGGGAAACCCCGGGGGGAGGGGGAGGGGGGGAGCGAGGGTCGACCTACCTGGGTGATAGTCAGCGTGGTGCGGTTCACCTGCTGGGCCTGCACAGCTGCCTGGGCCCGGGCCTTCACCACGTTGGTGCAGAGCAGGGGGCCCAAGGCGCCATACTCAGCTCGGTAGGCCTCCTGGTTATCCGGTGGGGGACGCAGCTTGGCCAAGACGGGGGCACAGTGCTTCTGTGGGGGGGGGGAAGGAAAAGACACTTAGCGGAACCCCCAAGGGAACACACACACTCACACACACACATGCAGAGGGCAAGCGGGGCCCCTCCGGGTGGGACAACCCGGCCTCTTCACAGCGGCTGCTCCAGGGAGGAGGGGGGGCGGCTTCCCTTACCAGCAGGAGGCTCTGGACGTGGTCAGCCCCAATCTTGTCAATATTGCTGACCACCGGGCCCTCCAGGACGCTGCGGACACGCTCCCCCTCCACCTGCAGCCGTGGCAGGATGAGGGTCTTGATCACCTGGAGAGGAGAGCGGATGCAGCCTCTGGGCCTCTGGCCAAACTGAGCCCGGGGGACCCCCGTCCCGTCCCAGCTCCCCCCGGGCGGCCACTCACGTCAGGCCCCAACTCCGCCAGGCCAGCGATGGACCCGTAGCGCGTGGTCCAGGGCGTCTTCTCGTCCACCCAGCTCTGGGGGCCAAAGGGAGGGAGAGGGACGTGAGGAGTGTAAGGAGAGCCGGGGCTGCCAGCCCCCCACCCACCCCACCCCGACCCCCCGGCCCCCACCTTGGTGAAGGTTTTGGTGATGCGGGACTGGATGTTGTTGGTGGTGGTGCTGAAGTTCTTGCAGATCTGGGCGATGAGCCGAGCGGCGAAGTCTCGCAGGGCCCAGTGGTTGTCCACATCTGGCCTGAGGCACAGCTGACGGCTGACGATGCAGGTCATGACCGCTGGGATGACCTCGTGCAGCTGCAGCAACCAGTGGGACCGTCAACGCCCGGCCCCCGGCCCCCACCCCCTACCCTGGGCCTCCCTGCCAGGGGGGCTCGGCCGCTCACGTATTTCTCCAGGTAGAGGGTTGGGTTGTCCATCAGCGCCTTGACCATCCGCATGAGGTAGATCAGAAGAGCCAGGTTGTTCTGCACCACATTGACCCGCACCTGGAGGGCAGGGAGGGAGGGGGCCGCGGGGTCAGTTCCCTGGGAGAGGCTGCTCCACGTCCACTTTCCCCACGCACAGGCCCCTCCCCGGGTGGGCTGGCCAGGGTCCTCCCAGGACAGTCTCAAGGCCCCATCTAGCACTGGTGCGGGATCCTCCTCAGGGGCTCCGGGCTGCCTGGATGCCGGTGGCTGGGCCGGACAGCTGGGGAATTCTGAAGAGGAACAGGCCTAACCCCCAACACAGGTGGGCCCATGGTTCCTGTGGGGGGTCCCAACTGGGAGGCCAAGGAATTCATAGCCAAGCGACACCTCAGAGCCCAGCGCTGGCCAACTGGGTGCACGGAGGGTGCCAGGCAGGGGCAACGCTGGGAGGAGGAGGAGGAGGAGGAGGAGGAGGAGGAGGAGTGGCGGCCCAGGAGACCAGGGATTCTGCTCCAGGGACGCTGGCTTCCGAGCATCTTCAAGCAGCCAGTTGGCCACCTTGGCACCCCCAGATATTCAGGATCCTCCAAGAATCCGCAGGAGGAAGGGTCCACCGAGAGCTTAATCCCAGGCAGGACGGTTTCCTCCTCCCAAAGTCCCTCGTAAGCAGGCTGGCTCAGTGCAACTCTTCCTGCCTCCAAGACATTGGGACAGCTCTCTGCCCCCCCCACCCCCCCCCCCCCCCCCCCCAGTTAAAGCAGCTGAGGCCACAGGACTCCCCTCAACCACCCCCCATGGCTTGGCACCACAGCCAAGATCTGGCAGAGGGAGTGGGAGCCCCCCCCCGCTTTCTCTTACCCCCTCAGAGATGAACGTGCTGAATCGGGGCAACATCTGGTACAGGCCGGGGTCTGTGGCGATGCTTTGAAGGGCTTCCTGGGGAGAGAAAGGGGGGGGGGGGGGGGGCCAAGGGGGGGCCCGGGGCGGGCGTCCGGGGGGGGAAGGCCCCCCCCCCCCCCCCCCCCCCCCGCAACACACACAGAGCGTTGCCAAGAAGCCAGTTCCAGGGGAGACGTTCCAATGCCCCTTTGGGGGGCAGGCGAGGGAGACGCCACCCACCCACGCCTGTTGGAGGCCAAGGGACGGGAAGCTGGACGTGGCAGGGGGCTTGGAGAAGGTCCCCAGGCTACCCGGGGTTGGAGGGAGGGGGGCAGGTGGGGCGATCCTGGCGGCTCACCGCTCGCTTGGCTTCACAGGACCCCACACAGGCTTCCGTGATCTCCTTGTAGTACAGCTGTTGCTCCACAGAGAGCTCGTGGATGCTGCGGGGCTTCAACTTCAGGGGGGCTCCTTCCAGAAGGGGCCCCTTCTTCTCTTTGCCTGCGCAGGTGGAGAGGAGGCCAAGGGCCCATTATCCCCGTCTCCCCTTCCTACTGGGGGGGACCGGCTGGGCCCACAGAGGAGACACACACACACACACACACACACACACCCTCAGCCCATGAAGCCCAGCCACAGGAAGGCAACGGGGCGTGGCTCAGAGCCAAGCAGAAAGCACGGTGCCAAAGGTTCCTCCGGGGAGTGGAGATGGGGGAAACCCCCACTTGCTCCCCTCTCGGTGAAATGGTTCCTGACCTGCCAGTCCTCCGTGGACCCCACCCCACCCCACCTGACACAGAGGTTTGGGCACCTGGCAAAGCCAGATTCTTGGCCAATCGCTGGCAGGCCCTGGCTGGGGTGGCCAAGGCCCCTGGGGTTCCCCTGAAGCGCCTCCTCGCTCTGGGATGGTCAGTTCCCCCCTGCAGGTGCCAAGCAAGGGGGCTTAATCTTTGCCCCTTACCCCACCCCCGCCGTGCTCAGGCTGACCTTTGCCATCGGCCGGGGTGGCGCTCTGTCCTTTGCCCTTGAGAGCGCCCTCCTCCTCCTGGCCCGGCTTGGCTGCCTTCAAAGGCTCGGTAGCCTCGGCTTTCTGCTGCTCCTTGGGGGCTGCGAAGGGAAGAGATGGACTCCAGTCAAGGTTAAGCTGCCGCAGCTGCCCAGCCAATTCTCCTGCTTGGGGCAGGAAGCTGCCCACCCCGCTCTGGAACTCACCCGGAGGTGGGTTTTCGGGGATGGCCGGTTGAACTCCCTCAATGCTCAGCCAGTGTGCTGTTAGAAAAAAGGGAGGAGCTTCAGAGAGAGGGAGATCATAGCTGGCTTGCAAAATCCTGGTTCGGTCCCTTCTTGGCAGCAGAGTTACAGAGCCAAATTGGAAGACAGGTCAGGAAGGGTAAAAGTTAACGGCTTATAAACCAACATAGAGCAGCACAAACTCCAGGACCCTCGACTGCCTTTCCGCTCCGGCTGCTTCTACATCAACGGCATAATACAGGTGGATGCTGCCTGGGACACGGGGCCTCTGGCTGTCACTTGCCCCCTTGCTGTGGTTGAGAGAAGGGTGGGGAGGAGGAACCTCCAAGACAGCAGAGCGTGGGAAGGTGCAGGAGAAGCTCCACCGCATGCTATGCTCTGACTACAGTACACCGGTTGGGGCACACACCCCCACAAACGCCTCCAGATAGGTGCAAGAGACGGCACAGGCTGTGCAGGTGGGCCTGCCAGGCCGTTTCCTCCAACAGGGACCTTCCCGGGAAGGCAAGGGGGGTGGGCCGCTTGCCCCTTTCCAGCTGGTTCCCTCCAAGGCTGCTATGGACCCCCCACCCCGGAGGAGGAGGATGCGCAGCAGGAGGGATGCTGCCTTCCTTCCCCTGGCATTGGGGGGAGGGGGGGCTCTTCCCGAGGGGCAGGCACCCCTCTGCCCCCGTGGGAGCTTCAGGCGGATGCGGGCACCCAGCCGAGCCTCTGATCAGGGCGGGGACCGGCTCCCCTCGCCGCATCAGGGGCTGCTGCTCCTCCCTCCCCCCCCCCCCCCCGCAAGGCCCTTGGCGGCTGGAGGGGGGCGCGGGGGTCGTGCCGTCCTCACCCTTGAGGCAAACGTCGAGGGGGACGCGCGGGAGGGGCGTGTTGATGATGTCGCTCAGGTCCATCTCCTTCTCCTCGTAGAAGTAGAGCTCCCGGCCCCCCCCGCTGGCGTAGCGGAACGGGATGAACTCCTGCGCGTGGAACCCGTAGAGCGGCTGCGGGGGGGCGGGAGGGGGGGAGGAGGAGGGGGTGAGCGAGGGGAGCCCCGGAGGCGACCCCCCCCCCCCCGCCCCGCCCTCCCCGCCTACCTGCGCGATCTCCTTGATGCGGTAGCTGACCTCGTCCGCCAGCAGCTGGCACGTCTCCTCGGGCACCTGCCCGATGCCCACCGACTCGGCCATCACCTTCATGGACTCGGTGGGCAGCTGCGCGCTGCCCGCCTTCGGCTTCTTCTCCTCCGCCATCGCCCGCGCCGCCGCCCCCCCGCCCGCCAGGCCGGGCATTGGCCAGCCGAGCGCGGCGCCCGGGTGACGTCACTAGCCGACGACGACGCCGACGCCGGGCTCGGGCGGGGCACGCGCGCTGCGTGTCGGGCGGGGCACGCGCGCTGCGTCTCGGGCGGGGCATGCGCGCTGCGTCTCGGGTGGGGCGGGCGGGCCGGCGGGGCGGGGCTCGGCCGTCCGGTCTCCCCTTCGGGTCTCCCGCCGGGGGCGGCGGCGGCGGCGGCTCCATGGCGAGGCGGCGGCCGGCCCCGCTGGTCTTGCCCGGCTGCCCGTACTCGGTGTCGGTGGTGCAGGAGGGCTACTGCCGGGCGCAGGCGGACGGCTCCACCCTGGCGGACGGGACGGTGTCGCTGGTGCTGGGCCCCCGCCTGACCCTGGTGGACACGGGCGGGCCCTGGGCCCGGGAGCGGCTGCTGGCCGGCCTAGCGGAGCGCGGGGTGTCCCCGGGCGACGTGGCCCACGTGGTGTGCACCCACGGCCACTCGGACCACGCCGGCAACCTCAACCTCTTCCCGCGGGCCGAGCTGATCGTGGGCACGGACGTCTGCCAGCCGGGGGGGCGCTACCTGCCGACGGGGCTGCGCCAGGGCGGCCGCTACGCGATCCACGCGGGGCACCTGGAGGTGCTGCCCACTCCGGGCCACACGGGGAGCGACGTCAGCCTGCTGGTGCTGGGCACTTCGCTGGGCAGCGTGGTGGTGGCCGGAGACCTTTTCGAGCACCAGGAGGACGAGGGCGAGTGGGCGGCCCTGAGCGAAGACCCCGCCCGACAGGCCGAGAGTCGGGCCCGCGTCCTGGCCATCGCGGACGTCATTGTGCCCGGCCACGGGCCCCCGTTCCAGGTGTTGAGGGAGGGAGCAGGTGGCGGCGCTCAATAAAGGGGGTGGGGGTCGAGGCGAGCGGCTGGTCGAGCCCTCCTGCCTGGGGCGGTTGTTGGCCCCCAAAGCCGCTGGGGTCGGAGACTTCCATCAGGACAGCCGCTCCCTCCGTGGCCGACTGAGGGGCACTGAACCTTTCCCGGGCCTTTTTCAGGCTCAGTTTCATAGCAGGAACCGGCAACCAATAAAGCCTGGCTCCTCGTGGCCCAGTCGAGGGCAAATGAAGGTGTCTCTGCTGGTTCCTTGAAATGATAGTCCGGTCCGAAGTGACCAGGTATGTGTGACCAGCTGAAAAAAGAGTTGCCGCTTTTGGGCAGACTCCGGTTTGGATTTCACCTCTTCTGTTGGGAGATTGCTTCCAGGGAAGTCTGGGGTCCCTTTGGACAAGGTTGCATCCGGCTTGGCCAAGCGCAAAAGGATTTAGGGATAGAAGTGGCCTGCAGGGAACAATCAGGAGAATAGGTTTAGCCTTGGCTCATCGGTGGAGACCCTTGGCGCATGTGCCCTTGGAGGGCGATGTCCTGCTTGGTGGTCTGGATGAGTCAGAGGTTGCTGCCTCCTCCTCCTCCTCCTCCCCCCCACCACATAATATGAGAACAAACCCCGCTCCCTACTCGCCCTGGTAATGAACCTGCAAGAAAACAGCCAGGTTCAGAAGACCCTAAGTAGGCCCCAGGGCTGCTTTATGCCGGCCTCTGCTTCACCCCCAAGGAGAGTCACCGGACTCTTCTGCTGTGGCGTTGAGAGGCCCCTTCCCAGGGAGCCCTGCCTGGAGGCAGAGGAAGGGATCTTGGGGGTCTTCTTGGGGGTGCTCAAGCCGGAGATCTTACGCCATTTCAGGCAAGAGACTGTCCAGTCCCTGCTGGAAAACTCCCAGGGATGAAGCGGCCACCATTTCTGAGGGCAAGCTGTTCCAGTGGTTAGTTGTCCTGTCAGGAAGTTTCTCCTGAATTCCAGGTTGCTTCTTTCCATTGTTTCTTGTCCTGCCTTCGGGTGCTTTTTCCCCCTCCTCTTCGTGGCAGCTTCTCAAACACTGGACTACTGCTATCATAGCCCCCTGGTGCTTTTCTCTAGACTGGGCAAACCCAATTCTCCAGAATATGTTTTAGTCTCCGCGCCTTTAATCATCTTAGTTGCTATTCTTTGCACTTTTCCCAGCGTGTCAACATCTTTTCTGTAATGTGGTGACCAAAACTGGATGCAGGATTCCAGGTGTGGCCTTCCTAAAGATCTGTAAAGCGCTACTAATACTTCATGATTTTGACCTTACGCCTGTTTATACAACCAAGGATTGTATTAGCCCTTTTGGCTGCCACTGCACACAGCTGGCTCATGTTTAAGTGATCATCCACTAGGACTCCGAGGTCCCTCTCACAGTTATGGTTTTTGAGCCAGGTTTTGCTTAGTCTTTTGGTTTTTCCCGCCCGGGTGTAAAATCTTATTTTTCTCCACATTAAATTTTATTTTGTTGGATAGGGCCTGTTGTTCAAGTCTACCAAGATCATTTTGAATCCTGAGCTTGTCTTCTGGGGTGTTGGCTATTCCTGCCAGCTTAGCGCCATCTGCAAATTTGGCAAGTTCCCCTTCTATTCCCTCACCTAAGTCATTTATGAAGATATTGAAGAGTCCTGGGCCTGAGACGGAACCTTATGCCCCCCCCCCCCCCCCCGCTGCTGACTTCCCTTCATGTAGATGTAGCCCTGTGAAGGACCGACGACCACTCGTTGGAACGGGGGGACTGGCCACTGAGTTCCACCCAGGCTCCTTGGCTAGTGGGCTTGTCGACAATGGAAGGTGTCTGTGGGCAACAGAAGAGATGCCAGACCTGCCTCAACTTGGGCTTCTCAGTAAAAACAAACCTTGGGTGAAAAACGTACAGTTTACCAGAAGACAAGTGAATTGCAATGGTGTAAAGCCAGAAGTGAGAGTTTGCGCCAGATTTCTGCCAGTTAACATCCCTCCCTTGGCCCGTTCCCATTGTTTATCTCTTATTGTCCAATCCCATTGAAACAAGGGGCTTTGGGAATGGTCACTGTTCTCCCAGGGAGAGGACGGTGAAGACTTGTCCGGAGAAATCTCACAGTTCAGTGTCACTTTCTCCCCCCTCCCACCCAGTTTCTCCCCATTGGTTCACGGCAAGCCGGCAGTTCCCACCACAGAGATTAAAGCTCCCCTTGGTTTCATGGAAGCCGAACCTGATACTTTTGAGCGTGTCCAGGAAGGCTCTTGTAGGGAGCATGGGCACAGAGCCTCACCAGGCCTTGGACAGAAGAGCTGCCGGCGGAGCCTTGGCCTTACAGCAGGAAAAGTGAAGGCGTTTGGCAGCTGCAGGAGTCGCTGGCCCACCGTGCAACCTGGCAGAAGACGGGCCTTAAACCCAGGCGCCCATTCAATCGCCCTGGGCTGCATGCGCCTGGGGGGAGGGGGGGGGAAGGGCTGTTGGGTGGGGGAGGGCGGCTAATCTTTCCTGCTGGGGGCCCTCTTCCTCCCCTCCCAGGCACCAGAAGCGTGCAGAAAAGCTCCCTTGCCCTCAGCTGGCAAAGGTTTGGTCTGTGGCTGAGGTCTGGCTGCCCCTGACTAGGCCTCGCATAACCTCAGCTTCTCCTCCTGGGACTTTGGGAAGGGTCCTGCCTGGGGGAAGAGCCAGTAATGGGGCCGGGGGCCGTCTTCTCAGCGACTTCACCCTAGGCACAGTCACGCAGGGTGGGGTTGGAGGGGCAGAGGCAGCAGGAGGAAGTGAGGAGTCAGCTGCTCCTTGCGGGCTGGAAAGGAAGAGTGAGGTGGCGTCAGAACAGCTTGTCCATTTTGCTCCTCTCGCCGCTGAGTGAAGCCCCTCTGCTTCAGGTAAACATTGTGGGGCGCCTGGGCCTCCTGGCTCTCGGGGTCCCCCCCCCTCCCCCCCCCCAGGGCTTGGCTCCCATTTGGGCTGTGCTCTGCTGCCTGGACTCAGATCTGCCCTGGCTTGGGGAATAGGGAGGGGCCGGGGGAGCCTCTGTCCGGCACACCCACCTCCCCTTTGGGCATGGCTGAGCAAGAGAGGGCATGCATCTCCGCCTTGAGCAGATAGGCACATGGCCGGGCCTCGGCTGCCTCCGGGACGCTGCTCGGCTGGGGCGGCCAAAGCCACATCAGGTGCACCCACCTGGGCTGCCCGAGAGCCTGCAAGATGGAGTTGGGGAGGGCAGGAAGGACACCGCTGGGATGGGAGGGGCTGAAGGCATCCCTGTGCGGAGGACTCTCTTGCCCCCCCCATCGGTTTTGCTCAGGGGGGGCAACTTTGGGTTAGGTCAGCTTGGGCCAACTTTGGGGGGGGGGGGGGAACGGGGGACCTGTCTCTGGTGACAAAGGAGCCGAAACGGTGGGAAAAATTAAACGTAAACTTTATGAGAAAAACTACCAACTGCCTGGGAAAGGAAGGGCATCTATACTCGTAACGCCTGACAGCACCCGAGGGACGCCTTTTTTTGGCAGGGCGGGGGGCTGCAAGGGGCCCGCCTTCTGGGCCTCCAGGACCTTCCCAGGGCTGCGCAGGATGGAGAGGCCAGAGCAAGATGGGGCCTCCTGGGCCTGGTCTTGGGAACCAGGCAGAACGGGCCTGCTGCCACTGGTCGACCCCTCTGGGGTTCCCTGGCGCCCTCCCATTCCACTCCTGCGTGGCGTTTGGGCACCTGAGCCCAAAGCTCAACCCCAGGCCCCAAGGGGAGCCCAGTAAGCAGCCCAGCAACTGCAGAGGGCGGGCCCAGCGGGACGCAACCAGTGGCCGGCTCCTACGCCCTCCTCATTCAAGGCACGTGCAGCCTCCTCAGCTTTACGAGGGTGAAGGACAATAGGCTTGACTCCCTGGTGGTCCAGGGAGGGCAGCTTAGATCAGGCAACTCCCCCCCACCCCCACCCCCCGCGTGGCCGCCCATGGTGGTGCAGAACCATTTGGGTCCCCGAGTTCAGTTCCCTCCTTTCCTGTGGCTTCTTGGTTGTCTCCTCCAGGTTGGTCGTTTGGGAGCCCAGCCTACAGCCCGCCCATCAGCTGAGAGGCAAGTGAGGGAAGGGGGGGGGCGGCCCCTCCCACCCACAGCCTTAAAGGAGGGCGGAGCCCAACTTCGCCCCCCTCCCCCACTCAATTGTAATTGCGGAGGGTGGGCCACACCTGGGTCAGGAGGCCAGAGGCAGGGGAGGCTTAAGAAGGGCTGGGCTGGGCGGGGAAGGGCAGCCGGCCAGCGCCTTCAGTTCTCCCCTCGACTTCACCACCACCAGCAGCAGCTGCCATGGCTGAGGAGTCCCAGCCTGAGAGGCCCCTCCTGAGGGCCGCTGAAGAGCCGCCTTCCTCCTTCTCCCTGCGCTCCCTCCTGATGGGTAGGCTGCTCTTTCTCCCCCACGCCTCGGGTTTGCTGGCTCCCCCCCCACCCCCAGCCATCTCTAGCGTGGCCTAACCTCCTCCTCCTCCTCCAGTCCTAGGAAAAGTTCTCTTTGCTGCGTTGCCTGTGGCAGGAATCACCATTGGTGAGTGAGACCCTCGCCCTGCCCCCGCCTCCCCCCAGCCCCTTTGTCTGGCCTGTTGCCCCTGCTCTGGTGGTGCCAAAGAGGCCTTTGCTGGACCCGCTCTGAAGTGGTCGGCTCCTGCGGGGGCTGCATCATCTGCTGTGTACGAGTTGCGAGGCTATCGGTCCTAGTTTGTTGGGGAAATTGCAAGCCCCGCGGCTGGTGGGACCCAAACCCTGGCTTACAAAGTACTACTGGCTTGGGCCTGGATGTGCTCCGTGAACCAGGCCCACCAGGTGTGGTGCTCAGAAGGCTCCCAAGATGCCAGTGGCCTGTGTGGCCCGGAGAAGCAGCTTGGCCACTCAGGCATCTGCCTTGGCCTGCAGCTCCTGGCTGGGGACTCGGGCGCAGCTTTGCCGGCCCTTCTTGCTGTTGGGCTGTGGAAATGGGCTGCCTCTGAATTGACCATGGAGACTGGGCTGGGCCGCTTTTTCTCCCGAGCCCCACTTCCAGCTCTGCCTTCGGTTTGCACATCTCCCTGGGGTTGGGGGGATACAGATACTGGTTGGAGCCATGGGCAGCTTGGGGTTTTTACCTGGGAGGTGACTGGGCTCCCAAATTTCAGGAAAGGGTCCTCCTTCACCTTCCGCTTCACCCA